ACTTCTCATGTTGCATAGCTCAGCAACGATTGTCCTTCCTGGTCTCCTAAAGATGAAAGATCCTATAAATGCTGTCTCCGGATCTCGTAATTATGAGATAAGCTGTCTGATTTTTTTTTTCTTTTGGTGAATGCAACACGCTTCAGTATATAAGCAAAAAATACTAATATAAAATAAAATACAGCTAGAAATATAATCCTATTCTTCATTAATATTTCAGCTATATTTGTATTTTAATTTTGTATAAAAAAAAGCATTTTTAATATCAAAAATCCTAACTGAAAAAACTAAAGTTCAGAGCTAATAAATAATCTATTTTTAATCTACTTTTAGATCAGGAGGATGAAAATAGATAAAATCTGTAGAACAGATTAAATCTCTAATCTGATCTGATCTGTAGTTTCTTTCTAATCCAGATGAGGCGGGTCGATAGTGACCCATTGGTTCTAACGCAGCAGGAGGTGTGGGAGGGGCTAGGTACCCTGAGGGGCGGAGCCTGTGTTCGGCTGTCGGTTGGACCCTTTCAGAACCTTCCTGTGGCTCAGCTCGGGTGGAGGCAGTCTGGGCGGGACGGGCAGGAAGCCGGCGGGCAGCGTTCCCATCATGGTTCCAAACTGGTCCGGAGATCGTTCCTGAAGGCCAGAAAAACAGGTTCCATCAGCCGGTTCTGGTTCTGACCCGATCAGCTTCAGGCCTCAGAACCCACCCTCTCTCTGCGGCGAACCCGGGCAGACAGGCTCCGCTGCAGAGACGGGACGGCGGCGTCCCCCAGCAGCTCCACGTAGGGCCTCTCCAGGACGTCCTCCGTGACATCATCGTCCTCCAGAAGGACGTCGGGGGCAGACGGGTCTCTGGGCCGGGCCAGAACCACCATGTGGCAGCCTCCGCACACCGCCTGGACAGGAACACGGGTCAGCGGCGCCGCCTCGGCGAAGAACGGCCGGACTGGAAGCAGAACTCACCGCCTGGACGTGGTACTTCAGGAAGCGAGGACACAGAGTGGGTTTGAACTGGTTGGTGAAGTTCTCCTCCCCCAGGCCCAGTTTGCCATGACGACCGTCTCCGAAGGTGTACAGCAGCCCCCCCTCTGAGGAAAGAGTCGGGTTTCAGAGCTGGGACACCGACCGCTCGGTTCTGATCGGGCGGGGCGGCGCTCACCTGTCACCACGGCCGTGTGGTTCTCGCCGCAGGACACCCGGAGCGCCCGGCCCTTCTGGAAGTGCTCCACGGGGCGGGGCAGCCGCGACTCGAAGATGAACGTCCCGTGACCCAGCTGCCCGAACTGGCCCAGTCCGAACGAGTAGACGTCGTCCTCTGAAAGGCGGGGGAACATCGGCTAACGGGTCATCAAATAAAAAACACCACTTCCTGTTTCTGCTCGAAAAACACTTCAGTCATGGTTCAGCAAATATCTGGAATTATTAAAGAACTTAGCGGGAAAGGAAATAAATCTAAAATTAACTTATTAATGTTTCATTTAGGTAAAAATTAATGAAATAAAAGGAGGAGAGGAGAAAAGAGAGGAGGAGAGAGACAGCGACACTCCTATACCAGGAGATCTGGAGGAGGAAGAGGAGGAAAGAACAAAAGTAAGGGGAGAGGAAACAAAGGAGGAGATAGGGAGGAAGAGGAGGAGGAAGGATCAAGTCAGGAGACGCAGAGTAAAGGAGCAAAGAGTGATGAAGAAGGAGGAAGGCTAAAAAATGAGGAAGAGGAAGATGAAAGCAACACTCTGAAGTCATCAGAGGAAACGGAAGGGAGTGAGGAAGAGGAGGAAGAGAGGAAGAGAAATGTGGAAGAGGAAGAGGAGAGAGAGAGCAGTGGAGAGAAGCAGAGTGATAACAAGGAGGAGGAAACAGAAAAGGAGCAAGAGGAGGAGGCTGAAAGCCAAGAGGAGGAAAAGGGTAAAGAAGAGAGTGAAAGTAAGGGGGAGGGGGGCGAAGGTGAAGAAAACGAGGATGAGGAGGAAGAAAAAGATGAAGAGCAGGAAGAAAGTAAGGAGGAGGGAGGAGTGAGACTGAAGATGGTGATAAAGACCAGAATGAGAGAAGATGAAGAAGAGGAGGCCCAGAGCAGTAGAGAAAAGCAGAGTAACAAAATGGAGGAGGTAAACTAACCTTTTTTAGTTAAAATGAATAAATTAATGCATAATCTATTTAATCTAAATGTAAAGAAATCTAAACTAAAAGAGGAAAAGATGAAATCAGGGAGCCAAACATGTACTTCCACTCTAAGGTCCGGTCCGTACCGGTCAGAGCCACGGTGTGTCCCCCGCCGCACGCCACCTGCTTCACCGCCTCCTTGATGCTCTTCACCCTCTGAGGAACTCTGTGTCCGGGCAGCTGCTCCGTCCCCAGGCCCAGCTTGCCGCTGTCCCGCTCCCCGAAGGTGAACAGATCGCCGTCGGCTGCAGAGAGAAGGACCACGAGTCAAAGCTCTGCTGCGTTTCCATCCATCAGCGGGATCTAAGCTTCAAGGCCGCCGTTAAAACGAGAGATAGAAATATACTGATTAGAGATGCTCCGCATATCT